ATTATTTGAAGATCAAGAGGAACGCAAGAATTTCACTAGGCGCGACAACTCGACTGTGGGTACACACCTACGAAGGAAACAGTCAAGATTCTATTCCGTGCACGCGTAGTTCGACTCTTTTGTATGCGATCGTTTGATCGAGCGCACGCGAGATCTTTACTCGTGGATGGCAATTACATTTCCATGTAAAAACAATGGTCACTTGATCGACTCACGCTTGGATCACGGTTGGATCATGCGAGTTCCTTTCTTCCTGGATGAATTGTGATTGATCTCTCTCAAACACAGATAAAAGCTAAAGATAATAAACCAGAAATCAAGCGGAATAAACTTTTACGAGATATTATTATATCTCCGTAAAGAAATTAATATATATATTAAATCACGTTGATTTTTGATTTTCCAATATGATAACAAATTTAAAATTTAAATTTTAAAATGGCGTTTATGTTAAATTCATTTTACACAAGAATAATTACTTCGCAATCATTTACGTTATACGAATTTAAAAAAGGTGGATTGTTCGTTTATTTTTTTCTTTGAATTTCGAATTCTAATTCGATTTAACATGCGTAAATAAAAAAAAAGAAATTGTGAGTAGACTACAATAATAGATTAATACATTGATACAAAATTTAAACGATTCGAAAACAGGATATATCGTAATAAACAGATATATTTTATACACTCATAAAGCTGACTTTTCCACTAACCCAATATATAAGTATTTCTGCATAGCTTTGTTCTTGCATCAACGTTTGATAGCCGCAACTGTCTCTCGTACGTTGGTTTTAGAATCTCTTTATTGTCGTGTGCACGCGTGCTTGTGCTAGATTTATCGGCTGTGAGCCCGGACAAGGGACTTTGAACTACATATCGTTTTCTCCGTCACATTTACGATTTACTCGGCACCGCGTATCCGTTTCAATTATAGATCGATCCATATACAATAACGCTACATTAAATTTTCATTGTTTCCATTTCTTCCACTCACCACCGCTTTACTTCAATTATTTTTCAGATGAATCTATTCGTCGTTCTCGCCTTGATAAAGTTGGCGTCAGGGGATCCGGGGGGGCTTCTCAGAGTTCCCAAAGTGTACAACGCCGTGATAACGAGCAATCAAAATTTATCCCCGTCTAGAGCATACCCGGTAATTCAACCCGTGATTCATCGAACGGCGATCGGTTACGTGCCACCTGTTTATTACACCCAAGTGGCGCCTCATTTAGCCGGGCCGGAAGTGGTGCATCTTTCCCAACGGGTGTCGAAACAACCGAACGACGTTCAAACCGCTCCCTCGTCCATCGAGCAGTCCAAGTCAACCGACAAAACGGAATCGACAAATCCGAACGACGAAGAAGAAACGGGCGATAAAGGTGTCTCGAAGTCGGGATCGAAGGGGAAGAGCGGGGACCAGGAGCCTCTCAGCTTTTATCCCAATTACCAATCCTTGTATTACGACCCTTATTTCTACACGTACAGCGGATTCAACCCTCACCTTGTTCCCGGCACGTACTACGTGGACTATCAACCCTACGGCACCCTCGAACCTATCCCTGCAACCACACCGAGAAACGGGCTCGCCGAACATCTGCTCCCAGCCTATCACGAGGAGAAGAAACTCCCTGGAAAGGAGGAGAAGGAAAAAATACCGGATGTACCGCCGCCACCCCTTCCAACAGCTGTGCCGAAAAGTTCTTGAAGCGGAACCGGTCCGACGAGGTTCGTTTTCGTGTCACGTTTTGAAGCCCACGATCAGACTGATTATCATCATAGAGTTCTCGAGATCGGCGAAGTGAAGTTAACGAGAGACAATTAATTTCAACGATCATTGTATATAAATTGCATAACGTGGATCGATCAAGAAAAGGGATTTGGGAGGGATGGTACACAGTTACTTTTTTCACGATTATTTATGAATAACACTTTATCAAGTAACTTATGGTCTTAATATCTAACATTTTATATATACATTTTATATGGCAGATTTGCACTTTTTTTTTTACTCGCGTGACATACACATCCCTAGAAATAAAATATTATATTTGCTTTATTAAAAATATATTTTTTTTATATGGTCGAAGAGAAGAGAAAGAGAGAGTCGCAAATTATTTAATTATATTATAGAAAGGCAATTATTGTATTTTAAAAAAAAGTTACAGGAAAAATGTTACAGAAGATATATATATATAGATTTATGTTTCGACGTGATCGCAGCGATCGTTTATCTTTCTCACGGCCCAGATCTTTATTACGTATAAAAATTCCATATTCGTCAACCCCTTAGCGATAAACATTAAGGAGCTTATGCTGCCATCCTTGTTACGATTTACATCGAAATTCAGAGTGGTATTTCTGTTCTTCACTGGTACGACTCTTATGCAAGTGACGCACAGTGAACCCTCCAACGTCGTTGTTAAATCCATATTACTTTGTACCGAATTTTGCGTATTGATGATTAAATTGTGCTGATATATTAATTCACCCGAGCAAATACCCCATTTCAGAACATTGTCCTCTTCGTTGTTCTGAAAATATTTTTCAGATTATTTGACAAATCAATTTGAAAAAGAAAAACAAAAAAGAAATGATATTTAAGAGCGCGACAGATATTATTTACTTGTAACTTTTTATTCATCTTTTGTAACTTATCTCTAACATTGAATCTATTATCTAATCTATTTAATTTTGTTAAGTATTTTGTAGCGCAAATATAATGGAAGTTTGTTGAATATTCATGTTCGTACTTACTGATTTCGAAACACTTTCGTTACTTTTGCTGTCAACTTTGTCGTTCAAATGATCGTGATATGCATTTGATATCGTTGTCGTTTCTATTACTTGTTTTCGCCTCTTTGTCATAGGAGGAATCGTGGAAATTAAAATGGCATTTTCATCGAAATTTTCTCTTCCCTCGTCGAGCGTCTTATCAAGTTTTTGAACGTTATTCGTTTCAATCTTAGCGGAAGAAAATACATTCTGTGTATTATTCGTCGAAATCTTAGCGGATACATTTTGAATATCATTCGTTTCAATTTTAGCTGAAGATGTATCTTTGTTAAATTTTTCTCGTAAATTATAGGATATGTATTTGGGAGTGGTGGTAATGGTGGTTACTTTTTTCGCGTACTTCTTCGCTATCTCTTTCTGTCGAGCGTAAAATTTGTCCATAACCGCTTTCCTCATCGAGTAATAATCGGATTTGTCTTGATCCTTCAAATTCCTTGCGTGCATCGCGCAACGCTTCGACCTGTTTATTACACGATCCTCGCTCGTATTCACGAAATAATTCGCTTGACGCCGGCCGATTGTTTTCTTCGTCACGCCTATGGATTTATCACCGTTCGAATAGGTCAATTGTTCTTTGTTCTTCCACTCCTTCTTGTAATCAGCCCGAGTTCGGATCAGTTTCAATTTCTTGTAGCTTTTCTTCGCGTCTTTCGATACTTCCGTCGCGTTTCTTTCCACTGTGCCCTTGTACGATAAACTTCCTCCATCGATCCCTTTATCCGTTTCACGTTCCACGATCGAACGATACTCCCTGTCACGAGGAGAATGTATCCCCACCACGTGCCACATTCGATGGGGAGGTATCCTGATGAAAGTTGGCGCTGCCTTAATTTCGAAATCGTCGATTCGAGAATTCTTGCCATCGGTAGTTTCAATTTTTCTCAACTTCAATCCCCTCATCTTGTTCTTAATTACGTCGTACGGCTCGACAGCTACCTGGTAATCCCGTTTCATGGCTTTCTTCTCGTGCAAGATGGACGTACCGATTATCACGAAAAGTACCAGTACAAAAACACCGACCGACCAAATATTTTTCACGCTCATATTCACGATCGATGCGAACGATCCGAGCACCAAGAAAGAAAATGAACACGTTCGAACACACAGAGTACACGGTATCTTTGACCCCGGTTTATCTTATGCTCGTAGGGTGGGAGAGTTTTTCATCAGTTGGACGAGCCATTCTGATGCATAATTATAGAAAATCGTTTAATAAGATTTATTCGTGAAAGTAGACTAATTGCTTGCCTTTTGTCGAGAATCGATTATTTTATTGTCGAAGCGCCTTCGGAAGAAAAGTTGCAATTGCTTTTATCATATTTTCTGATATAATTAGAACTTGTAAATAGAACTTGAAATACGTACAATATTTCGATAAATAGGCAATCTAAAATTAATAATCGTAAGAATGAATACATTATGAGTACTAAACTGCGATATAAAAGTGTTTTATTTAATTAACGTAAATTTTTACATAAGTAGGAAACGTTATTTCTTAAAAATGTCTTGATAATTAAATGATTATAGTCGTTGAATTTATAAAATCGATGAAGATATAATATTTTTAAATGGTTCGAGACACCATGTATAAAAAAGATTCGTTAGTCAAATTTTTAAGAACTAATGAAAATAAAAAATAAAAAGAATTTCGCAAAATTTCGTTCCACCACGTACAAAAGTTATTTCGATTTAACGGTTGAATATAATGCAGGTTATCATCGATGCTTTCGTTTAACTTTTTCATTTCCTCTCCTTTTTCCCCCCTTCAATCTTTGTCTCCAATTTTTCAATACCATCATCATCTTCATCGATCGGTTTTGCACCTACAGTCGATGGTTGATCTCCTGGATGGGGAGCAGGTAATAGCGGATACACCTTAAAAACAAATTAATCAAAAATAGAAATCGATCTTCTATGGAAGAAGTTTAAGATTTCAATTTTAATCGAAACGAGTCGATGTTTTTTTCTTTTTTTTACCGGATTCAATGGCAGCCGGAAGTCGTAAGTCGGGGTTCCGTAATAAAAGCTATAAACAGGTAAATGAGAAGCAGCCAGTTTCCCATGTGCTATGATAGGAGCCGCATTTACCTCGGAATGTACCTAACGAGATAAGCGAAAATATCAAATACTATGAGTAAATGAGTATGAAAGAGCGTTACATTCATTAAACCAATTTTTTTTTTTTCCAACTTAGTATACCGCAACTTGCAACGAAATCACGAAATAGTTTTTGAATTGACACCACACCTTTCTCCAATTATAATTTTTATATTTCTTTTTACGATTATGATAATTTAAGAACATATTTACTTCGATATAGCTATAAAGGAATAAATAAAAATGATTTATGAGCTATTACGAAAAATATTATCATCGTATAACAAATATTTTATGTCCGCTACGATGATAGATTTTTAATATTTCACACAATATATTATTAATATTCTCACCAGATATACTTGATTAATATGTACGATGTTAAAGTACGATGTTTGCATTTACTTTAAACTATTAAAAATAAATCTTCATATAATTGTGAAAAGAGTATAGCAGCTTATTTAGCTATCGTAAAAAACGATTTATTTATTCGTAAGAAACAACATTGGAAAACGCTGTATCGAACGATTATTTTATACATTGTACATGTTGTACATAATACGTTACGTTATAAACATAATAAGGGGAATCGTGATACTGAAGAAATCCTCTGTCCACGTTGGTGGCTGTAGAAAGGTATCGATGATCGTCCGAACGTACGCTTGGCCAGAGTGGTTTCGATTCCATCGAAGCGATCAGCAACACAGCGAAGACAAACGACGTCACGTGGACCTTGAAAAAAAAAGAAAAAGAAAAAAAAGAAAGAAAGAAAGAAAAAGAAAAAGAAAATTGAATGGAAAGATTGCGATGAATTTCAATCAATAGGAATTTCTTGCAATTCGAGAAGAATACTTCGATTCGTATACGAGGAACAATGCGGCAGTTAGTCACAGATTGATCGTTCTCTGCGTCGAATAAAGTAGTAGCTCGGGCTTTTGATAATACAAAACTTTGGCTCGATGCGCAGTATCGCGTGGTTCGCATATCAATGATCTCAATTCGCAGGCAACACGGAAAGAGATTTGGTCGGGAGATGTAACGGTTATTCGCGTCTTGGGAATTATTTATAAAACCAGTCGATTCTCTTTACGCTTTCAACCCTTCCATCCTGCCCAATTGCTATTACGCGCAGGAGAAAGAAATTTTTTTATGTAAAAATATTAAATCCTTAACCTTTTATTATTACGATCCTGTATCGTGTAAGCATTTGCTACAAGTGTAAAAGAAAAAGAAAAGGAAAAAAAAAAAAAGGAAATAATTGCCGATGGAAACTCGCAAACGTAAAGTTTACGAATGAGTAATTGACACGAACGGATTATTGCTTACCTGCATAGTGCGATACACAACTTCGTTATAGGCTTGCAAACTATCTTCTACCAACTAGAAATTTCAGCCCTGCCCGCCCATTTATATATTCCTCGTGGAGAGTAAACTTCTCCCACCCTGTCCTCCAATATCATCTGCGATTGTTTTCTTTTTTTTTTTTTTTTTTTTTTTTTTTTTTTTTTTTT